TCCAGTAACATCTATCGGAAAGTCAGGACATATGTTTGAAAGAAAGATTACTCAGTCTGCCAGTTCATTTGAATCAAAGAATCCGGAAAAGGTAATAGACTGTTTTGGATATTAATTTCTTTTATTTTTTTTTAAAATGTTTTAAAAAAATAATTATATAAATATACAATACGGAACTTAAGGTTAATTGTTTTGCATTAGGTTGAACGAGCAGTAAGTTTTTCTTTTAAAAATATTATAAGTATTTATTTTTTTTTTTTTAACTTCATAGTTCGCACAAAGTTTTTCTCACTAGAAAAGAAGTTGGATTTTTCAATCAATTCACAAATTAATTGTAAAAAAGTTAATTTACTGGATCACTCTGATGTTGAATAATTAATAAAAATATTAAACAAAATTGTTTTTCAATCATGTTTTTTAATTTTAATAATGAATTTTGCAGTGTTTGTTTTATGGGAAATAAAATTATTACTGTGGATGTGTTATTTCACTATTGTTAAAATATATTATTTAGAAATTAATGTATACAAGGGTAGTTTAGGATTATGTGTATATTAGGTTCTAATTTTTAAGGGGATAGCTTTGTTTTCTGAGTTGTACATCATTATATTTTTGTGTATTTATTCATTAAATATACAGATATGTCACACATGATTGTATAAAATTAAAGGAGAAAAGTATAAACAATATAAATTGTACAGAAATACCTATAGTCTTGTATTTCCTAAACTCATGTTAAATTACACAGTAATTTTTATTTGTTGATATTTTTTACAATTAAATATTTTTTTTATTTCAGGTAATCTACAACTGTTGTATTTGTAAGACTGGCCAAATATCTGTTTTTATTAATCTTTAATAGTATGATCCATATTTTGTACATTAATAATATTTCATATCATAACAAACATATGTTTATAGGTTATTTTGTTTTATTTACTTTAACTTCTTAATTAATAATAGTTGTTAACTATGAAGACTCATGTTTATTATATAATTTTGTTTTTAGTGTTTTTGATTGTATGGTTATAATAAGTTTAAATTTTTGTTTTTCAGTAGGTACATACTATTAAATGTTCTTTTTTAACCATATTTGTATATAACCTAGCACTTTTAACAGTTATGATTTTCTCTGAATTATTAAAAAATAATAATTTACTCATCTGTATAAATGTTTTATTATTAAAATTAAACATCTGATATTGTATTTGTTGTTTGTAATTTTTGATATTATGCAGTGTTTGATTTTCCATGTATCACAAATTCTGTTACCCAAATAAAATTGCATTTCATAATTATATGATATATAATCATATTTCCATAATGACCAACACTGTTACAATGATAACAAACATTTTTAACAATTGGGATTTAGAGCAAACTACTTCTTCCGTGTGTAAAAATGTTTCTAACATAATATTGATCTTGATTTTATACAGTTTTAATAAACTAACAAAACGTTTAAAACTAATACTTTGAAAAATTTTTAAAATAATAATATTTTTATTGAACTTTGTTTCATTGAAATGATCGTTGGCGTACGGAGTTTGTATTATCCTAATATTTCGAATATTCCCCAATGGACGTGGAATGTAGGTAATAATTTTTGTAATGTTTCACATGGTTTTTAAGGGACGTAAACAGATATGTCGATGCGCGCGTATGTGTGTTTGATGGTAATGGAGCGTCCTCGATAAGGCAAAATTTTAATATCGTAAGATTCCATAGTACGCGTAGTTCATATAATGTGATAATAAGTTTCCTGTTGTTTGTTTTTACCATCATATCAAACACGCTAGCGAAAACTAAAATGGTTCATTAGACGAGTGTGCGTTCGCAGAACTGTCGTTTGCGAAAATCGGCACTAAATATCATGTACGTATTTTACTGATATCCGGTGTTCAGTTNATACAAATAAATAATAAATAATATTTCTTAGTAAAACTCTATTTGATTCAACATTCTATAGACTTAAAGGTGTTTCATTAAATAAACATAATGTTCAACACCAAATCAATATTATTTATGATATAGCCCATAGAAATAATTTCAATTTAAATACAATTAAACAAATTCATAAACGTATAAAAAAAATAGTAAAGCACAACTCACTATAAAATATAAACTATTAACTAGAGTTGAACATAAATCAGGAAATTGTTCTCTATTATTTCCATAATGACCAACACCGTTACAATGATAACAAACATTTTTAGCAATTGGGATTTAGAGCAAACGACTTCTCCCATGTGTAAAAATGTTTCTAACATAATATTGATATTGATTTTATACAGTTTTAATAAACTAACAAAACGTTTCAAACAAATACTTTGAAAAATTTTTAAAATAATATTATTTTTATTGAGCTTTGTTTCATTCAAATGATCGTTGGCGTACGGAGTTTGTATTATCCTAATATTTCGAATATTCCCCAATGGACGTGGAATGTAGGTAATAATTTTTGTAATGTTGCACATGGTTGTTAAGGGACGTAAACAGATATGTCGATGCGCGCGTATGTGTGTTTGATGGAAATGGAGCGTCCTCGATAAGGCAAAATTTTAATATCCTAAGATACCATAGTACGCGTAGTTCATATAATGTGATAATAAGTTTCCTGCTGTTTGTTTTTACCATCATATCAAAAACGCTAGCGAAAACTAAAATGATTCATTAGACGAGTGTGCGTTCGCAGAACTGTCGTTTGCGAAAATCGGCACTAAATATCATGTACGTATTTTACTGATATCCGGTGTTCAGTTTTTCCTTTTGAACATTCGTAGAAATATAATAGTTTTATAATTATTGTTTAAAATATCGTAACATTGATGGTTTTTTATTGTGTTGTACAATATTATTATATGTTGCTGTGGCTACAAGTATTTAGTTGAGTGATATGGCCACGTCAACCATACCTTCATTGTGTAACAGTATTTTGGCGGGTTACACCAAGACACGAGGTTTATGATAAGGTAAAAAGTACCGTTTATATTCATAAAAACATAATACAAGTTTTCGCCAGCTGACGGCTTTTGACGGAAGTAAGGGCGAGCAAATAATAATTAAAACAACATTAGAGGAAAAAAATCAATTATATATAAAAATAATTCGGAGTCGAAGAACAATGCTTTGCGTATGGCGTCGGTGCGGAGAGAGCGAGCGGAGCAGTCGAGCAGTCGAGTCGAGCGGAGCTGTGTGCAAAAACCGTTAAACGCCGACGGCGAGGGGCGTGGCCGACGTTCGCCACGAGCGACGCGCAGCGGGAAGAAAGAAATGTGAGTCCTCTCGGAGAATGATAACGTTGTGGTTCGCCACAGTATCAATATTAATGGAAGAAAATAAGTAGATAAGAACCTAAAAAAAAGGTCTATGAATCATAATGATGTGATACGTTTTTGGGTTATTAATAACGGGTGAAAATAATTTTTTTTAACATCAAATTAGATACCAATATTTTTTCTGTTCTCGCGTTTTACTGGATAGAATAGAAAAAATATTAATAAAAACGAATATCAGTAACATGAATCGTAACAATTTATTATACACTAATGATATGCTATTACTCAAAAAGAAAGAGTAAATTATCAGAGAAGACACATGTCCGGCTATCGATCAGCTGTGAATATAAACAGTTGGTACCTACACTTATTATCTGTTAGATAATGTCTGTGTGTGTCTGTACACGGAAACACTCATTTACACACATACACACCCACACAGATCCACACACACACGCGCACGAGCGTTTGCACAATTACACATACACCGATTTACAACACACTGTCTTTTGTTTGTTTACTCATTACGCGATACCGGCATTGTATATATCGTTAAAATTACTATGTCCTATAATACAAAGATATTTAACGTTGTCGTTTTACCGCTCATAATGTGTTGTTCAATTTACACCACTCTTACAATGTGATCTTCGTTCTTTCGTCCTCGGTAAGCCGTCATCGTTTCATGAGGGCATTCTTTCCCCCCTTCAGCATATCCCTTCGCCAAGCAGCCATTTATTTGGAAATTTAATTTAAATTTTTTTATTTTATGAACATTTAAATTTCACGTAAATATGTGTATAGACCGGTTTTGTGAGCACCCTTTTTATTCGGTTCGCGTCGTTATTTTTTACGTTTAATACATGCACCCACGTGCTCGTTGTTGAAATCTTGTCGCAAGACAATTTTAATTCGCCGTTTTCGCCATCATGAAACCTTATGAAAAGCGCGACACGGATGGTAATCATTTCTACGTTACTGGTTTTATTTTGATTTAAACTACTTTTTTCTTTTTTTTATTACCAAGTCAAAGGATACATTCGCGTCATGGAAGCCACAAGAAAACATTTGCTGAATTTGCGAAAGATAATTGATAATTGGGAATATTTAAATATTCAGAAGCAACGTATGGAAATGTTAAAAGCTTTGTATAAAATGCTAGACACAAAAGAGTAAGTCTACTAAGTTATTTATTTCCTCCGTTGAATATTCTTAAATTTTGATGTTTCTATTCGGCGTGGTTCTAAATTTTTAATTTCTTCAAGATTAACCTAGCCCGTTTTTCTTGGTTTTTACGAGTGATGTTTGTAGTGAAACGAGCGTAATATTTGGTTGCTTTTCACTATAAAAATATAACTGCAATAAAAATTACACGTTTACTTGATCATACTTTCAGTTAATAATCTTGTTAATATTATATTTAAATATACATATAAGTTAGAGAAATACAATTTAACATTTTGTTCATTTTGTTATTTTTTTTAACACTTAGTTATGTAAAGGTTTTGTATTTATTATATTTGATTCTTTGCACAATATTTATTAAATAATAAAATCCAAAAAATAATTTTTCACTTTTATTTTTAATATATTAATATAACTAAGTTTATCTTAATTCATTATTAAAATCAGTGTTTATAGTTTTAAGCTTGCATACTGTTTAAAGTAAATTCATAATGTACATATATTTATTTATAATTATGTAAACCACATGCTCTAAATTTGTATTTATGAAATTTGTTTATAAAAACCTTATGATGTTAAACTACAAATATTTGGCTATGCAATAATTAAAAACACAATAAGTAAATTTAATTGAATTTACTATTAAATTTCAATAAAAAAATTTAAATTAAAACTGAATCACATTTAACTATATATAATTATGTTAGTAGAACCTAATCTAGTTTTGTTTTAATATTTTATAGTTTCAAATTTAACCAGCTATACAACATTTGATTGTTATATCTTTCTTATATTCACTTGCTTTTTTTTTTTGTTGATGTGCAGTACTGATTTTGCTGAGGATTCCGAACAAAAAAAATTATTTTGTTAGAGTGAAATAATTCACTTTTGTTACAGAACTAATCACTTTTTTTACTTTTCAAGTTTGTTATAGAATATCACTTTCAATTTCTTTTTGTTCTCAAATGTAATTTTGTAAATGTTTGGTTTTTTTCAATATTGTTTACCTCAATTATTGAAAGTCTATTGTGTAAACTTAGTTCTGTTTCGAATCCCTTAGTAATACAGGTACTACAATATTTACCATATTTGAAGATACGAATTAAATTTATAAGTATAAATATTATTTATATAAGTAACAACTTAATTGGTATGTATAAAAACACTGANAAATATTTAATAAATCATGTGCTTATGAATAAAATATAATACATATAATCCTTCATCTAACAAAGTAATGAGAACAATGAAAAAGGACGAACTGGAATAATGGGCACAGGTGCAGCTATTGTTATGGGTAATATAATATTTACCTGTAAGCAATAAAAAACCATTGCTTACGAAAAACGATTCTGAGCGGAGTTCAGTTGATAGTGATGCATTGTCAATAATATACATACATACCATATTGTAGTAAAATAATTAAATAGGCTTTATATATTTTCTTTAATTATATTTACTTAATATTGTACTGATTTTCCAGTTTTCCTAAGTTTTCCCAGTGTTCCCAAATTTCATCTAATTTTTCATGACCTCTTCACATCGATTCCCTAACAGAAAATGTGCAACACAAAAACCGGATCAAGATATCAGGTAGTAATGTTAGCTTTACTCAGAATCAATAAAAAAAGAGTGTTAAATTTTGGAATGAATAGCTCACATCTACTATTGGGAGGTTTTAATTAAATAAGTTATACCTACATACACCTTTTAAAAATCTCAAATTTAATACTGACATCTGCTAGAACATTTTGATGTTAGGTTGATTTTCTTTTTATTAGAAAACTTTATTAGGGTAATTGAATGCAGAGTTTACTATTTTTCTTAGTAAAGGAAATAGTTATTTTATTCTCTTAAATTAATCCTTATCATATTATAATATGCCATATGATGTTTATGTATTTATATAAAATTTAATTTTTTTTGTCTTTCAGGTTGTCAATATCCAAACTCTCAACTTGTGAACAAATTATAATAAAATTGTCAAAAATCTATCACAAATTTCTTGAGAAAGAGGTAAACTATATTACTCCAAATTAAAAATGTATTGTTAATTTAGTATTATTCATTGTTTAAGTATACTTTTAACTATGTTGAACATATTTAATTTAATATAGATTTATTGGGTTTAATATAATATTAAAATTTGTTTATATTAGAGATGAGTATCATCAAACTTGTTTCATATTTATTAAGTTATTTTTAAAATACTTTTAATTTTTTTTTTTATATAATCTTCAATATTTATCATATTTAACAAAATCAAATTTCTTTTTCTAGTGCAAATTGGATGCCAAGAATAATAATCAATTGAATAAATGTGAAAACAAAACTAAGTACATACTAAATTTTATAAACTATTATATTATCTCATTATTAACTGTCTCATATTTATTACAAAATACATGTAATTATCTTTTGTTTTAGGAGTTCATCAGAAATAAATATGACATGGAAAACAATTGATCTAAAACTGGATAATATGTGGAAAAATTCTGAATATATGGACACATTAGGTAATTTGGATAATTTTACTCATAATTATCAAATTAAAAGTGTTGATTATGATTTAAAGAGAAAGAACGAAGGAGTTTACAAAGTTAAAGATGCAACACTACCTGAATTTCCAAATAGTCTTTTACAGGTTAATAATCTTATTGGTTTAGCAGCTATAGAAAAATTTGGTACAGCTGTTGAATCTGTCTCAAATAATTTATCACTACACCAACAACCACAATTTATTATTCCTACAGTATTAAGTAAATCATCTACTGTCCCTGATAAATTAAATACTGACATAAATGCATTTCATAAAATTGGTTCCTCAAATGATCCTAAACAAAAGTTAATCACTCCTCTAAAAACAGACATTCCGATTGATCATACAAATTCAAAAGTGAATCGTTCTCCATTGCTCATGGAATCTATAAGATCAGTTGTTTCAAGGGATCCAAGACTAATGAAAACAAAAAGACAAATACAAGAACCTCAGTATCAAAACTATAAAGAATATAGAGAAGCCAAATATGGCAAAGGAAAATATTCCAACTACAGCGATAAAATAGATCAAAAAGAAAAAGATGGCCAATGTATTTTGAATTTGGAAAATCAAAAATTCAAAAGTTCAAATTTAACTGATGCCAAAGAATCAACTTATAGTTTTGGTGTTAAAAATAGTACAGACAAAATAATAAACTATAAAATACCAAAAATTAAACATAAAGAAGAACCTATTATTCAGAACGTGAAAAATGATGTGATAGAAACAGTTAAAATAAAAAATAACTTTAGAATAGATTCTCTTACTGACACAAATGAAGACAATGCCGTGAAAAATACCTTTGCAAAAGAAATAATTACCGATAGTAAAATAGAAAAAAAGTTAAAGACCGGAAAAATTAATGATGATGATAAAAAAAAATCAGACAGTGATAAGAGTCGTGAAATTAATCTTAAGAAGTCAGTTATAAATATAGATAATAAGTACATAAAACAAATTGACAAAAAACAATGTCATATCATTCAAGAATCGACTAGGGCAAGAAAACGAAAAAAGTGTTCTGAAGAAAGGGAAGTTGAAAAAATTATTAGAGAAGCTTCGAGTTTAAAGGATGGTATATGTGGCCCAAAAATCAGAACAAGAAGTTCTCTAAAGAAAATCGGAGAACCTCTAAAAGAGGTAGTGCCGAACAAAAATAGATTGTGTTTGGAAATAAGAGAACGTAGTAAAAATATTGAACACGTTGAGAATGTCAACACTGAGCAAGATGTTATTTTGTCTAAATCAAAAGAAGAATCCAAAAAGAAGAAAGAAGTTACTTTAAAATTAAAGGAGTTTTTAAATGCAAAAGACAAAAAAAATATCAGAGATGATGAACCCAAATGTAAAAATGTGTCACTCGAAGAACATTCTCATTTCGAGCTCAACGAATTGAATGAGAAGAAAAGAAGAAAACTTAACGGGAATAATACTATTGTTGTTAACAATTCATCAAACAATCAAGAGAGTAATAATGCTTTATTGAATACATGTTCAGATAATGGTTTTATCAAAGAAACTATGGTTATTGAAAATTCTAATTCNGGAATTAATTTTGACCATTCATCAACTAGTCAAGATAAAGTTAAATTAAGCAAACACACAAAATCTAAAGAAAATTATAAAAGTTTTAAAATAAAAGATAAAAACTTACCTGATAAAGAGTTTAAAGATTTAAAAACTGTAATGACTAGATGCGATAAAAATAATAGTTTTACGGATGGAAATGATCAATTCAAGATCAGACTTAATTATGAAATTATTTCCAACGAAAAAGCAAACAAAACAGACTGTAAACCAAAAAATAAAAAAATAAAAACTAATGAGATTGAAGAAAAAGATGGTCCGTCTGTTTTGGCGAAACCCCAGAAGAAAGATCCTATAAACGAAAATCCTACACTGGGAATATCAACTTTACAAGATCAATACAACACTCTTGACCAAAGTTCAGAAAAAATGACTACACTTCAGTCCAATGTTAACAATACAACTGTTAGGAAAAGGACCAAACGCTATATTACTGAATTAGAAAAACTCCGACTTGGCGCTGGTCAAGCGTATGGTTCTGATGATGTGTTACATGAACGTAGGATTCGAAAATGTAGACAAAATAAAAAAATCGATTATTGTTACACTAATACTGTAGTATTATCCGAAAAAAATTATAGTTCCACTATTGAACAATTAGATGATCAAGCTAATATATCTATTAGTAATAATAAAAAATCCAAAACTTTTAAAAAACAAACAAAGAATAAAAAAAAAACTATTCAAGTGAAAACTTTAAAAGCTTTAACACCAGAAGATTTTAAGGACAAATTATATTTTCAAACTGTTGATAACAAGTTGGAATGCAAATTATGCAGTTATAATGATATAGGACTAAAAATCGTTCGCCATTATAAAGAAGATCATTCTGTGGAAGAAATGTTACCATCCAGGTTATCTGTAGACACTGCTGAAATATTGATAAATGAATCTGTGAAAGAAAATTTTGGAATTTTAAATGTTCTCGATTTAAAGCCATTAAGTGATGTGGTGCTTGTCAACATCACTTTGACATGTGTTTTTTGTTACTCTATCTTTTATGATATTACGTGCTTTTATGATCATATTACTTGTCACACTGGTGAATATAGATATAATTGTAAAGTGTGCAAAATGACTTACCCCAACGTACTTGAGTTAGACAAACATATTTCAGAGCATACTAATTATGATAAATCTGGAGGAATTTTCCACTTATCGCAATCAAATCCAGTTGGAAGTAATACAATTTTTGGTTATTTATGCCCGTTTTGTTATTACATACAACTTGATTATCAAAGAACACTTAACCATATGATAGAACGACATTTCAATGAAGATAAAAAGTTGAATAGCTATTGGACTATCATACGAGTTAATATGTCTATTGGAGATGATAAATACACAAATTCCATAGTGGATTATAGCAATTTGGTTGGATGTTTACCTCTTATCTTAAATGATAAAGTTATTTTAAAAGACGAAAATCAAACACAAAAAACTGGTGTTTCTACAATAGTTGTGAAAAATAAACAGGCAATGAAAAACGCAGGATCTTCAGGGATACATTTGTACAATGAAGTTGAAGTACATTTGCCAAAGTTAAATATAAATTCATTGGTAAATAAAATTCGAGGTGAGTAATTTATTATTTAAAATGCAAACCAGTGATTTTATATTTATAAAATTAAAATATGATATTATTGTTTTGTTAGCTTGTAATGAGAAATTCACTGCTATAACTGATGATCCTACATTTGAGCATAAGGAATACACTTTAAAATATAATTTAAAAAAATGTATTGTAGCTGGTTTAAGTTGTGAACTCATGCATTCAATATTAGTATATAAATGTTCAGCATCGAAATGTGAATATAATCCGTTTTCTACAGTAGTTTTAAATGAGTTGTTTAAACACATTAATTTGAATCATCAGCTTATTGTTTGGGATAGAAAGTGTGACATGTGCAAACAAAAAGTGGACAATTTAAATAAACAGTATTTATTAAAAGATGCTTTGGAACATATCATTTCACACCATTTGGTTTTAAAGAAAAGCCACCAATATAAAATAATATGTATGTAAAAATAAATATGAATTATTGATTGATAATGTT